ACATTTCTGCAAACATGTTGGCATTATCTTGACAATGGTTTGCGTAAAAATGATATAAAATGGACAAAAAATTTACATTCAGTTTACGTAAAATTAACAGAAACATGCTGTTTGGGAGGTAGCCTTCCCATTCTTCCCTTTGTGTAGATCCTTCCGTGCCATGAGGACATGTTGGCCAGCTACCACCTCATAATGGTATGCATGCCTCTGTGGATAGATAAACAAATACTTGTATTAAGTACATTATACTTAAGGAAACTCTCTAAACTAAAACTTAAACTAAATTTAAATATCTGATGCCTTGGACTTCGAGAAATCGATGTAGAGGGACGAACTATAGAGGGGAGAACATCTTTAACAATTCAAATTAATGGGAAAAGTTTCCCTATTTTTTTCCCTATCTTTTGGTAAGTCCAAGGCGAGATTGAATTTCTTAACCATTTCTTAACGCAGATATAATTGTGAAGAAGTAACAAATCAAAGAAAATTGTACCTGACCTTGCAGACATAAAACAAAGGAGCAATCTCGTTTTCTGATTATGCTAAGAGACTTTCTTTCTCCATTTCTCAGAGTAATTTTTTTAAATTTGAACATTCATTCATGATGAGAGAACATATAACGACAATTATTGAAGAAAGAGCTCCATGATTCTGCAAGGTGAAAATATGTTACGCCCATGCATTAGCTTACGTTGGCGGGAACAAATGTCCCTTGGAAGTCGTGAGACGCGATGACAATCGGAACCTGGCCTCCCATGTCCTCTCCTGACGCTGATTTTCTTTTGAGGGTAGCTTTGATGTCTTCTGAGAATGACCTCGAAGCAGCAGGGCTGGGCTCCACATTTGACAGGGGGATCTCATGAATACCTAGAATGAACATAAGTTATTGAATATAAACGACCACGGATTCATCAAAAGCTGCTCAGATTAAAGCCATGTATTAATGAATCATACTTTCGAATTAAATTAACATCCTTCAGCAGGTGAGAAAGTAGATCATCTCATGAGGAAATTTTCTTATGTGCCCGATTGTCCAAATTCTCATACAGATAGAAGGCTTTATTGGAATGTATTGGTTGAAAATAAATAAATACTAGACCTGTTCACGTCTCACGCATCAAAAGCTTCTCAAAGATGCCATTACAGGGGAAGGAACAGTGTTCAGATCAAGCGTGAACAGGTCTCGTAATCCTTCTTCGACCTTCAAACTGAAACAGTGCATACCGCTGTCCCTATAACTATAGAAAAGTAGTATGCAAATAGACCAGTTTATTTTGAGCATACAGTGAAAACCGTTAACTCGAACTTTTAAGGAACGGGCAAATCGTTTCGAGTTATCCGAAGTTCGAGTTATCAAGAATCGCCCCCACCCCAAAAAAAACACGTCAAGGGACATGGGGGACAAAATGGCTCGGAGTGAGAGCGATAGATTGACAGAGGGAATGTTGGAGGCTTTTTTTATAGCCGAAGCTTTTCGGTTTTCATCCTCAGGTTTTATCCTCTCCACAGGCGTCTGTGTGGGAGGAGGGAGAAGCAGCAAAAGAAACGAAAGAGCATCCTCCCTAACGGGTTTCTTGTCATTCATTCTTTTGAAAAGTCAAAAAGTCCCACCAGAAGAATTTTTCCCCTTTTCTCACCCTGAATTCGAGTTAACCGTGAGAAAATCGTTATAGGGAGTGAAAATTTCCATTCGAGATATCCGGAAATTCGAGATAAGCGAATTCGAATTAACATGGTGTCCTATGGGGTTCCACCGGGACGAATCCTTGAACTTCAAGATAAGCTGAATCAGGATTCGAGTTAACGAGTTTTCACTGTATTTATTAAAAAAAACGCTACTACTCCATGTTAAGGAAGAAGGTTCGGTGGAGCGCTAACTCAATTACATCCTTTTGGATGTTTTTTTCTATAGGCATATTTTTTATTTTAGCACTACAAATATTATGTCTCATGCTGGGTTCAGAACTGCTTCACCTGGTGGCGTTTTCGTTTTCTTCCGCCGCTGTTGGGTGCTCTCTGCCAGCCAAGACCTTTTCCGCACACTTCTCGTGTGGTCTTCAGTGGACTGCAGTTCTGATCCCGATTCAGAAGACGTAGAATGCCGTGATAGGCCTGGGTTTGTATCATAATGGCGTTGATCCTGCTGTTGAGAATGAAATCAAATTTGTTAAAATAAAATCATCTTCATTGCGGCAGCACATACTTTCATGAGAATCAGGTAAATTATATTGAAATAAATACAAACTGGCTTCCATCTCCTTGGCGTTGGCCCGATTCACATTCAATTCCATCTCTGACGTTCGAAATCATTAAGTTGATCCCCTGTACCAAACACGAAATTGTCCTTTCCTTCATATACTCTCCAATGATGAGCTTGGTGATCTTGGTCTTCGTACAGATCCGTGTGACAGGGAATGCCACGGTGTCCATCCTGCCGTCAAACTCCAGCTAAATAGAAATGGCCGAAATTCTTTGTTCCAAGACCCTTCAAACCCAATTTTCCCCGAAGGGCATATAATTAGACTGTGCGGATTTCACTTTCCAAAGGTACGACAATATAACAACTACACTTTCTTATTTCTAATTCATAACACTCCTTCTGGAGCAAGAAGCGAGGGGGAGAAGCTATTTCGCGAAAATTTTATTTAATTTAAATTTAATTTAAAATAAAATCGCGAAAATATGTTCAAGTTCGATATCTCTTGGGTAAAGAGAATAGTCAGCGATTTTACTCCTTAACACATTGACAGCCAAGTACGAGATATCTCGTGCTATGCTTTGAACAATATCACACGGTTGCTGATTTCTAACTGCATGATGGAGTCCTGAATATAGCTAATTGCTTTTATATTTTTTTCCGATTTTCTGCGACTGAATAAAAAAATATGAAAGATAGCTATTAATACTTTTTCAAATTTATATGGCGTGGGAATAACAAAATTGGGGACGGTTAATGTGTTAACTTCGAGACTCCTGAGGGGTGCAATGGACCCTACCTCGATGTTGCTTGGATTCTTGTGGGGTTTCGCAGCCTTGTTGCCCGGGTATTCTTCCTTGTTCCCTTTGATCTTCAAGGGGTGCCCTCCGTCACTCATGTTTTCGCTCACCATGACGATGATACTCTTGTCTCTGGATGTGAAGTATATCCACTTCTTGGTGAAACTAAAAACCGCATACTCTGCGCAGAAAAATAAGGCATCACATCATCATGCAAACACAGGGAAGAGGGAGCATGACTGCAAGAGTATGAAATTAAGACCGCTTATTTTCAGTTTTTCATGAGGCACATTGTCATTTAATTTTAATGCGATTCATTCATAATTATGAGTAACTATTCTGGCACAAGTTATAACTGGCTTCTATATCGATGCATTTACATGTTCATTCTCAAATTGACAAACTTACTAGCGGATGAAGTAGGATGGTCCATGGAGGAGTCCTTGGGACGAGATGTTGTAGGAGATCTTTCTGCCATTACTGGAATAGATCTGCAATATGGTTGCTCTTGAAATGGAAATAAAAAGCAAATTATTGTGGATATTCGCGTCCAGGAAACTTGAAAAGCTGAAATTACTCTAAACAGGGAAGAAACCTGTGAAGGAACGGGAATGGGGGCAATATGAATGGAATCAGTAAAGAATAGATATGGAGATATTAATGTGGGATGGAGAGAAAGGAGGAAAATGGTTATGTCTGGAGCTGAAGAGGCACGAGACAACAAGTTGAGCAATGAAAGCTGAAACTTGACAATGATTTGAGATGCGTGGGGTGGGTTCAGAAGACCTTCACGAACACAAGCTCAAGAGGGAACTGCCTGGTCAGGACCATGAAAGCTGAAGTGGGAGGCGCCTCCCCCGCCCCCTTCCACTGCGAAAGACGCCCGCTTGAGGCTTGAGGGTCCATCTACAACAAGGGTGCTCGACCTATGGCCCTCGGGCCCGATCTGGCCCGCGGCGCTTCTCGAAATTTCATGGGAAAAAATGTCCTGCTCCTTTTCCGGCTCCGAGTAGTTGACGATCAGACTAGGGGGGGAAAGGACAGAGAAAATGAATAATGGGGGCTTGAATGCAAAGCTGTATTCCATGCAGTTTCATCCCACACCATTGGAAGAACGTAAACTTGTCACTTTTTATTATTCCTACTCAAGATATCAAGCTCAACAGAATAAAAGGGACGACAGGCACAAATACATCATTCTCCCCCCCCCCCCCCCTGCTCCCCAAAAATAAAAGAAAAGAGCGGTAGAAATGCAGCAGACTGGACGATCACCCCCCCCCCCCCCCCTGCTCCCCAAAAATAAAAGAAAAGAGCGGTAGAAATGCAGCAGACTGGACGATCCCTTAAATTCATACCAGAGCAAGAAAAGAGATCAGTGAGGGAAATACGTGGCCTGATGAAAAGGTTCCGACTAAATTTTTATATGACGGTGTGGTGACTCTTTCTGGAGTCTGATGCCTATATCCTTAGAAGCACTTTTCTTCGGGGTTCGAAAGAAGCCACCCGGAAAAAAAGATCCCCAGATTTGAAAAAGCGGGGAAAAGCCACCCAGGTGGCAGCTTCATAATTATTAATTTATATATATTTATGCATGTTTGATGATTGAGGACATTCACTTTGCAACGGTGTTTGCATTCACTTTTCACGAGGAAATTGCTTCACAGCGAAGACGTGCTGGGCTTGGGAGTTGCCAAGTTGCTATGTTCGCATTTCTCGCAGTCCTGCTTTGAATTGAAAATAGAGAATGCATTCCGTCAGGAGGGAACTCCCATTCGAGAGAGACCCTTCCTTGGAATTTCGAACGAACGAGTAACGGACGAAAAATGGGAAATGGTATGGTTCGATCGATTCTACCTGACCCACGGATAGGGCGTGTAGTTAGATTGGCAATCTAGGTTCCGGTCGGAGGATGGCGAACCCTTCATTGGGGACCAGGGAGTTCTCGAGCTTAGAGGCCTAAGCGGATTATGGGCGATCTGCTAGTTGGGCCCTTAGAGTTCGGTCTGTGATCGAGTTTCAGGTCGTGCGTTGGCCATGATTCGAATCAGGCCGAACGGGTCGGGCTCGGAAAAACGACCCGTGCAGGTCTCTCTTACCCAGAATGGCACGCTGGCACGCGGACGCATATAACAAACCCTCCTTGATCTCGGCACTCACTTGCATGGGTGGTGAACGCGCGTGAGAAAGGGAGCGCGAATGCGCGTGAAACCCTCCTCGTTTTCGCACCAGCCTGTCCTGCATGCAAGAAGCGAGTGTAGGAAGCAAGAGACACACTTTAGCAAGCATAATCTCCCACGGCTCCTTGGTCCTTGCTTTTTCCACATGCGTTACTAGAATACCGGCACGCGCACGCCTCCGAGTTTTTGAATGACTATGAATGAACTAAAAATTGGAATCTTTCGTTCGAGTTGCATGGCATGTGTCACTATTAAAAGGGGAGGGGGGGATTTAATAAATATCGCTGTAATGCTTTCCCTGTATATTTCAAATTTGCCTAAATCCTAGGAGTGACCCAAACCTTTAAACTGCTCATAGGTAATTCCTCCAAAGGCTAGATCCATTCTACATTGTGAGTCAAAGTCCTTCCCAACTTTTGAACGCTATGATAAAATGAAAGGGAAGATCGTCCTCGGATATTTTTTTTCCTGTCTGGACGAGAAAAGCAGGAGCCAGGTGGGCACCTCTCCGATGGAGCAAAACCGCTCATTCCCGCCCTGGAGCGATGCCGCTTCACCTTGAATCCTTTTCCTTCTTACTCGGAGGAGTGGAGGATGCGTCCTACCTATGGCATTGTGTACGCGGTCGAATTTTAAGCCATTTTCTAGTTCCGCCGGAGGTAGCGATCCCGTCACCATGCGATCCAAGCCGTTCACAAGGCCATGTTCCCGCCCTCCCTCAGATTGAAGGAGATTAGCGAATGTTCCCTTTCGTTTTGGCTAGCGTAGAATCGGAATAATTTCCTATGTTTGCTCTTTTACTTATATTGTCTATCCAATCCTGGACATAATGAGGAATGGGATGAAATGGTCCTTTTAAAAATATTTTTATAAAATAAGTATTTTTAATATATATTTTTTAAAATCGGGATGCAACCTTTAACACTGTTTCAACATATGATGAAACGGTATAAATAAATATTTCATTGAATCATGGTCCCCAATGCTTTCAACCTTCAAGGCAATAAATAAAATAAAAACAAATTTTAGAAGGTTGTCATGGGTAGATGATACAATTATTGAAATTATTACCCCTTGATGAGCTGTCATAATTTTTACCACAGTGACCATTTCGTCCGGCAACCACCCATCGAGACATTGCTTACGGCTCCTTTCCTGACGCTTTTTCCCGCTTGTACTCGAATTAGATCGGAAACCGTTTTTTCTCCCGCTCTCATATAGGAAGAGAGGTTGAATTCAATAATTCGGAGAAGAGAGATAAGGCGAACAGGTGAACAGGGAAAAATTAATCCTTATTCAAAGAAGCTGGTTTTCTAGTGTGTGGGGCCATTATGTCCTACATTGCATTTGGGACCATTATGTCCGGGGCCATTTTGTCCGGGGCCATTTCGTCCGGGGCCGTTTTGTCCTACACTCATTTTTCTCTTCTGTTTGTCTTTGGCTCGATCTCATTAGGTGCATGCTGCAGAAGTGGACAGTTCTTATACTCCCTTGATTTCGAAACGTACATTGGTTAATCCATTCCCTATATTCTTGTCAATCATTTGGTATGCAGGCTTAACTTTCTTAATTATTTTTCTTGCCATGGGGAATTTCATCTCTACTTAAGGTAAACTTAAAGTGAATTTTTTACATGGACGTTGCTTACTCAAAGGATGCACCAATGTTTCGGCAACCGCCGGTATGGCACCAGCAGCAGATTTCCTATCTGCTGGTGCCGATGTCCAAACACGAAGAAAAAGATGGGGGGAAAAAAACGAAGAAAAAGAGAAAAAAAATTACGTGAACGGGACTTGGCAGCTGATTCTCAACAGCAATTAGAAAAAATTAGGGCTGTCCTGATGCATCCATCGATGAATGGATGTCATCTTCAATAGTTGGAAGCATGGTAGGTTTCATTACTCTTTGCGGAGGTCACACATTAATCCTGATCACAAGCATGAGATTATGGAAGCCAGATAGAGATCTGCGCCCCGATCGCGGCGAGGAAAGATGGAATACTCCGGCGCACCTCAACCTCACCCCCGATGCGTCGAAACATTATCGATAGTTTAGGTCGATGCATCGATGTTTAGAAAACTGCTATATTACAGCCCTAGTAAAAATATATCATCAGGCAGTATGATAAATTTAATAAATCGTTAGCTCTGACCAATCTAACATGTAGAATGCTTGTCAGGACGCTTCAGTGAATCACTGAAGAGGCACGTTGTTCGAATTTCGAGCAGCCACGCCTTGAATTAAAATTTTGGGGTTTGTTCAGTCATGAGAAAATCCCCAATTGGCTGCATGCAAATCTTCAGCGAATTCAGTTTCCTAACATTCGAGTGAGACTTGTTCGAATTTCGAATGCCAGAGGATGGAATGAAGATTAGGAGACACGTATCGGTTTGATTGATCGTACCCGACCCACGAATCGGGCACGTAGCTTCTTTGGCAATATAGGTTCCAGTGAGGTGTGGGCGAGGACTTCATGAGTGACCTCCGTTTCCCAAGCTTAAAGGCCTAAGCGGTCTGCAGACTGTTGGCCCGTAAAGCGCGGTCAGCGAACGAGTTGCGGGTCGTGCTTTGGTTGCAGTTCGTATCAGACCGAACGGGTCGGGTTTGAAAAAGAGACCCGTGCAGGCCTCGCGTTTCCGCAATGACACATGCATAATTTTTTTTTTCTTTTTGGACATCTGACTTACTAAATAATCCCTCCAGGTCATATGCTTTTGATCGACCCCTCAATCATGTAAGTCCGTTAATCTGTTAAGACGAAGTTGCCCGGAATGCCACACACACTGACAGATGAACCTCTCATGCATATGGAAACTTATGTCTACCATGTTATCACATAATAGAGCAGTACTAAATGTTCGCAATTATCGCAAGGAGCATGTTGTCCTATTTCTCATTTCGTATCAAAACATCCGGGAACATCCTGTCCGGCGACCACCAATCGAGACATTATGTACAGTAATACTCTTTCTCTTGCGTTTTTCCCGCCTGTACTCGAGTTAGATCGAACATCGATTCTTTCCCCGCTCTCATCCCTTCGAGAATTTGTCATCAATTTTTTTCCCCCCAGACAAATAAATTATCCTGGAGGTCAAATAGAAAAAGAAAAATAGTCGATAACTTCAGTACCCTCCCAAGCTTCGGCAGTTGCATTTCTTTTCTAAAAGTAAAGTTGGAGGGAAAATGGAGTTTATGCTCTCTTGTTTTCAAGAGCTTAGAACACTGATGTCCAATAGGATTTTGATGCTAGCCATACTTGTGGCGATTAGGCCACCATATTCGCCCCATGATACAAAATATATGCAATATTAATTTAAAGGATGCGCAATCTTCGAGGTCATCATCAATTCGCCCCGCGTGGCGAGTGGCGAACGAATTGGACACTGTGGGTTTAGAACATAGGTGTGCAGCATTTATTGGCTGTGGGTCGCATGGAAACGTACGGCTCTTCACTAGGGCCATGAAATGCAAAAGACTTTCCTCAATTGCCCTTGGAGCATGTGAGGAGGGGTATAAGGTCGCATTGATTGACCGACGACCCTCACTTTTCCCCCACTCCCTGGAAATTCCAATGCCCAAAAATTGCCTTGCCATGGAGAACCTCGTTCCATTTGCGACACCGCCACTCGAGGAATAATTAGGGGTCGGAAGAAAAGGACGCTCAGTCTATTTCTAGTTACTAAGGGATGACCAATGTTGTGATGGACGGCAAAGGAACATATTTTTAATTTCATTTCATTCTGCATTACCATTATAATTGCACTCTGCATTAGAAGCAGGTCCGCAGGCTGAAGGTTGAAGATCTATGATTTAGAAAGTTTTCCCAGGAATCTGAAGGTGAAAAATACAGGGTCGTGAAACCCAGTTCTCACTTCCATGCGAAATTCCTTAAAATAGCCTGAAACCCAAAAGAGAAAGAAGGGGAGTTAATGAGTTCACTCCGATGCCGCGCGGACTATATCCATTGTTATCAGTTATTTTGAGAATCGGTAGCCCTCCCACTGAGGACACCTTGATGAGG